CTTCTGTTATTTGGTTTTTCTTTTAAGCCACATACCTGTATTTTTTTGACTTTCCATGGGTTTAAAGAAATATTAAAGTGCTGTTAAAATAAAAAGTCAAGGAAAAAGAAAGGAACCCCAGTCTATTGATATTCTAAATCGAAATACGTTGTGTATTACTAGTACCAGTGATGCTATGTGTGAAATAAAAAGAATAGAACAATAATGAGATTCAAGTTCTAACACAGATGTGTTTTTTTTAATTGAAGTCCATAATATACAAGATACAATCTTACAGTGCTTTGAAAAAATAGAATTACATGTGTCTGAGAAACCTTCAACAACTATACATTGTATATAATATTGTCGAAAGAATGCATTTATTTTTCTAATAGGTCAAGAAACTACCCCAACGATTTGAGAATTTTACCCAAATCATTTCAACCAAATTTACTAGACTGAATAACACGTGGCATTATTTTGTGAAGCCTGACAATTGTCATCAAGATATTGTGATTCTAATCACTTTCCACTGGAACTCGCGTATTTTTGTGTCAATTGTTAATTTAAATGACAGTCTATAAATTTCTTCCCCCATTTCAATTGTTTTTTTCAAGCATTACTGCAAAAATAGTCTCTGATCGAGGGGATATGAAATACTTGCCAATGATACCAGGAGTAATCACCTTGGTTGGCATTAGTGAATCTGATACTAATAATTTGATCTTGACCTTCAATATCAAACTTTGACAAATCATCTGGCCTCCACACTGAAGGTAATGTTGAAACCAAGCCATACCACTTTAGATAAGCACTCTGTAAAACACCCTTTCTTACAGTATCATCCCATTCCAAAATATTACCTCTATCATTGAATTTACCTACATAAATCAATCATCAAACAAATTCTTTAAAGTAAATATTACAGCCACCAATTGTTATGTTGCAATTGTTCCATATGCACTGATTGAGGTAGTGCTCCTCCAATTTATGGTCAGACACTGATAGCCAGGATTGTAATATGTTAAATAAAATGAAATTTGTTAAGTTTTAATGGCAGTGATTTCAGACAGAAATGCATTTCAATACCACCATTTTTTTCAAGTTTACTTTGAAGAAACCATTTCCAAGGATGGTGAATATCATGATCAAAATACCGTCTAAGCCAACTAATGCGCTGAACATCATAAATAGCAAATATATCTGGCATTTTTAAGCCACCATAATCCTCGGCGTGCGAATTGTTTTAAAAATTTGAAAAAAGAAAAGTACATTTCGTTTTTTTGTTAATACAAAGCGTGACATATGTTTTGACTATACATTTGCTTGCTCTTCCTAGACATATTTACTTACTAGACTTTTGTTCGTTTATTTATTTATTTGTTTCTTTCTTCATTTGTTTATTTATTTATACATGTACATATATTCATTTACTTACTTTCTACTGTTACTATTTTCACTTTGTATAATATGGGAAATAAAACAACAACAACAACATAGATCCATGCACATTTTCGCCTTGTGTACAGTTTGGTTTCTTAATTAATGCTTGAAACTATAATGCATTTTTTTAACATTTTAGCGATCATTATACTTGATATATTTTTTATTTATTTCCAACCAGGATGTAAATGGGTTTGGCTGGGTTGTTCGTCCGTTAGTTATAAACCCCGTAGATTTGATAAGTTTTCAAAGCAACTGAATCTGCAGTTTGATTGTCGACAAAGATAATGCTTGAAACCTTCGGATTTCCTGTCCGTGTTTTATCATGGATGTTGACATTATACATATACCTACTTGTCGCTGATGTATACCTAATAATATAAGTTGACACGATTTAAAGTATCATTGGTTGATTAATTGGTCGTTCCATTGATTGACTGACAGGGGGTATAGAGTATAGTTTTCTCTAATTTATTGGACGAAATATCCAGGACAGAATAACGTAATGAGAATTTAGTTTTGTTTGGGAAACATCAGACTATTGAGAAGAACTTCGGAAACTTTGAACTACAATTTTGAACTACAAATTGTGAAATTTATAAAACGGTTATTATTATGACTTCACGATTTTATAAATTTGCGTTTTGTAAAACCGTTGTTGGGTCAAACGATGTATTTAAATTTAATTTACTCATGTAAATATGTTATATACATGTCTTGGTAAGTATAATCTGATTTTTGGTTTACCATATTTTATGCTGATTTTTTTAATAATTTATTTTATTGTTCCACGGGCCTGGATATATGTGTGCAGAAATGTTGCTTTAACTAAATGTGTTAATCTTCAACAACGTGATTAAATATAGTTAAATTAGTAACTACCAAGACAATATACACTATATTAAATATAAACGTTGGATTTTTACAGGAGTGAAAATAAGTTTCTGTAGAGAATATACAAAATATTAAATATCTTTTATGGGGTTCGCTCAATAATCTGACTGTTATTTTCGTGTTCATTATATCCTATTTCTTTGTACCTATTTATCTGTAATTTCACAAATACATTGTAACGTAATTTATTCTTCTAAACCAGACGTCCATCTTTAGTAAAACTTATAAACTTGTAATATAAAAAGATTTGTTCTGTTGGCATTGTAGTACATATTTAGTGAATGACATACACATACACGCCCAAAGTCCACAATGCCATGAGTATTAATAGTTTAGATGTGAATGCCGATGTGAAGATGCATTAACAAATTAAGATTGGATTTCAAAATGGAGAAGACCAGTCAAGCTGTCGTCATATCAAAGCGCTGGGTATGTAGGTAGGCCACAGTTTCTCAACAACGAGGGATTGTGGGTAGGATATTGTCACACCTTGTGGGAGTAATTACCGAACATAACCGTTACTTACTTCATAGTTCGTTTAGGCCGGTATAAGCAAAATGTATTACAGTTTACGAGGTGTTCTACAAATTGCAACAGAAATCTTGCTAACTAGTATTTCGTTATATTGCGTTCCTCAGCACATCGTCAATTTGCCGACCGGCTTGTTCCAACAGGATCAACGTTACCTCTGGTTGCTAAATTTAGACAAGACACTACTCATCTTACTTTACATTGAGTTAGACCGTTTCATGTTCCCCGTTAGGGGCGGATCTGGGATTCTGGAATAGGGGGAGGGCCCGATCATTTGGCCGAAGGCCAAGTTCGCGAGCGCCGATGGCGCGAATCCTTTGTTGGTTGTTAAAAATAGGGGGGCCGCGGCCCCCTCGGCCCCCTCTAAATTCGCCCCTGCCCATATCTCTCGTATCATTCGGTCATGACCGCAGTCTGATAATTCCAATAGCTAAATCACCGATCTATCAAATCAGGGGTACGATGTTGCGAACTCGAATCGTAGCTTTTATTTGAATCTTGGAGATTCCATGTAATTATTATTCGTCCAGCGTTGCCTAATTTCATTTTATATCAATCAAAGCCAGGTAAGTTCTCGTCACGTCTCAAAGGATTCCGCCGCAGTAAGCAACTATCACTCAGAGCATGGGGGCATCTTTTTTTCACCTCCAATGTCAGAGTAAACAGTTACAACACTACGGTCGTTGATACGGTCAACCATCATGGGAGGTAATTGCTTTTTTGAGGGTCTTGTATTACTATTTTCCGACAATCATCGCTATTTTAAAAACATTTCTATAGAACACAATATGAGAGAAAAATCGCAATTTCGACACTTTTTATAACCCACTTTTTTACAGGCCCATCATTATCAATACATGATTTGCCCAGCCTATGTCACTTGCATGCAAATTTAAAGAGCGGTAGTCGTCGCGCCACGCATGCGCGAGATATGTGAGTCTCATATAAACAGTGATGGCGACTTTGACTGTTGCGCAGATGAACGAGTACAATCTGAGTACAAGCTTTAATTAGGTATGTTTTAGGTGATTGGAAGGTATCGGAGGAGTCGCCGGCGGTAATTAGTGCAAGTCGCACCCAGGCCAAACCTCATACTTGTGATTTCCATTAGAAGAGCTTATTGGATTGTGGAAAATCAATGTTTCTGAACACAAATGTCGCACATGCGCAGCGCGACGACCGCCGCCCTTTAACATATGGCATAATATCCCTGCTACCCATGGTAAAAGAAATACCAATGAGATAACGGAAAAACATTAGACGAGTTTCGTTTTAAAGCGCCATCTATCGGTTTCCGTGCGATAATAGGGGGGTGTGTGATTTCTAGCTCGTGCAATTTATTCGCTTGTTTCCCTGGTTCCCGTCGTTATGATGAGCTATCCCCTCTACGCAAACGAAATTGTAACCTTTTACACCAGATCGCACAATATTCTAAAGTAACGGCGGAACTATTGTAGACCAGTAAATTAAGCACTGTGACATGTGTAGTTATACAAACAGTGCCACTTACAGTGAAAATATACAGTAGACGTATCTCCATCGGAACTTCATTCCATTTGACTACGTTTTGTTTTTCACACCGTCCGAGATTGGACAGTAATATCGATTCTGCTTGACATTATTTCACAAATCGAAATATCAAATGATTATGAAACTCATGTCCTTGCAATCAGGTAAGCGGTGAAAACGCAGCGAGCAGAGTTAGTTCGTTAATAGACTGGCAAAGTCGGGATTTCTTTTTTGTTTTACAAAAAAAATAGTCAATTCAGCCTTTTTAGCGTGATCGAGAAAAATAGCGTGACCACGTTAGTTTTCGTGATCACGCTAAAAGGACTTAAAAAAATTCACTATTTCTTTGTGTAAAACAAAAAAAATCCCGATTTTGCCAGTCTAGTTTGTTAATGACGTTACAACGTCGCGCGTTTTAATTTTGTTTACTGTAAAATAGTAAAATACTTTATTTTCGCTTGGAAATAATTTTCGCTGAAGGGATCAGTGAAAATAAAATTCAGCGAATATTCCTTTTTCCCTATATTTTACATTCAACTAGCCAAAAATCAGAGTCTTTTTAGCGAAAATTAATTCCAGCTAAAATAAAATATGTGTCACGCTTGGCCCATATTGAACACGACGCAGAGCGATGACAGCAGCGCTTACATTTCTTGCATTTATTAACACTTGTATAATATACATTTTGATAAAGATGAAACCATTTAACAAGCAAAACACATTGTCCTTTGTCCTTGGTGATAACGTTCTCACTGCTTTCGCGTGGTGTTTTTGCTTTTAATTATTTATTAAAAAAAAAACTGGTTTCAACTACATACATAAATTGTGTTAGGTATAAATCGACACGTACTATTTACTGATTGAAGGAAACATTCTGACATATTGTATGCTGGATTGGCATAATATCGATTTCAATAAAATATACACGAAGAAAACGTCAAAACTGAAGCGTTATTTGCCACACTATATATCATTTTGGTATATATTAATATCATCTCTAATCTTATTCTATGTTCATCCATAGTAGCTGGACTCCGACGTTGATGGCGGGCTGTATGTGCAAGACGTCATTTCATAATAGTCTTCTAAATCAACGTTTTCTCGAGGTTTTTAATCTTGAAATCACTACAATGTTTCAGCCTTGTGTTCGTTGAGTCCTCGATCACGTGGTCCTGTCCGGTAGTAAAGACAGGGGCTGTAAAAATAAAATAACAAAAACTGTTTTAAAAATTTGCAGGACAAAATTTATGATTAGCATGTTTACACGTCAGAATAAAATCAGCCATTGTATGCCGTATAGTCTGACATGTAGGCGTGAGTGGCGCCCTCGTCGGCCGAAAGGCATCAGACCTCACTGTATTGGGTTTGGAGCACCGCGGAGGGCGCAACTGACGCGACCTCGTCAGGCTATATATGCTGTACAGCTTCGCTGCGTTACGCGATATTCGTCAGCGATTATATATCCGTGGACAGTATTGGAAGATTATTAAGAGAATTTATAATACGAGGAGTATCAATGAGTTTACAGCTCCGTATGACAACGCTGGGATATCGGGCGACACAAGGCGAAATTATATACACCGAAAAACCCTGTGAGCAAGCAAGCAAGCAAGCTGCTCTCTGCTGAATCTGTCCGTGAAATTGCTGAAGCCTCAAATGCTGTTGGTGCCTTTCAGTTTTAATTTTGTTTGGGATAAACATTATCGATTATAATGTGGCAATTGTGAACTACATACTGTCAAACTGCCAATCTTGATGCTATATAGATTGAAAATTACTCAAATGTCACAGCAAGCCAGACTAGACACAAACTATTCATTGAAATTAACTACTAGTATATACAATGCAGTACACGGTGTAAAATTGCATTTCTACCGTGACTTCATATTAGATTCAGAATACCTCCTTCTGATTGTAATCACCGTGGAACAATGATAAAATCATATGGAAGGAAATTCCAGCGTAATTTTCATTGTCCTGATTACTGAAGTCCATACGATTTCTCCAAAATAAAGCCCTTATGATGCTCAAAGTGGTCAGTGGTAGTTTTTCCGCAGATCATACAAAGTAGGAATGCTCACACTAGTCAGTGAGAGGTTTTCTACAAATCATGCAAAGTGGGAATGCTTACAAGGGTCAGGGTCAGATCAGTGATAGTTTTTCCGCAGATCATACAAAGTAGGAATGCAACTCTGAAGCGTGATATTCGTGTAACATAAGTCTGGATGTCACCCGCTTTTTAAAAAAATGTTTTGGGCCGAAGTATCTGACCGATCTCTAGCTTTCAAATATGATTTTTGACCAAGTTACTCAAAATTTAAAGGGCTGAAGTGATTTAACAGTGCCGTCAATCAGAAGGTTGAAATCAGCAAGTGACTGCATGAACGCCCCAATGAACGCACGCAGCGAGAGGGTGGTTAGTGCATGGTGGATGCTACTAAAACGTGGTCCCAGGGTTCACTCGTAGGGCATACCTGCCGTGCATGCTCGACGCCCAAAGGTGACTGCATGAACGCCCACATTTTCACACGTGTTCAAAGTTTAAACAAAAATTCTACGCACATTTCACCTGAATGAATTGCACAAGAACTGATACGGGGGTCAAGGCGTGGTGTCAAAGGTCGTGTTTACGAATTTGTTCCTGCTAACATGGACAACAAGGTAATAAATGGTATCTAATCTACCGACATTGGTTATTTTACTTTAAATTAACATCATGATAGTGTCATGTCTGGATCACGTACTAACATTGGTGTCCGATTAGCTGTGGGTTCATAGCACTTTTTGTATTGGTCTTTCGTCTGTGTGATGGTATTTTAGTAATTTCTCATTCATTCTGTGTCATTAAAATTGTTGTGTTTAGATATTAGGATTTTATCGACACAGAGGTTCTTCCCATGGACCTGCGAAACAAAAACGTGCGAAGCCAAATAGAATTGTAAATAAAATTCGATTAAAGTGAAGCATGTGCTTATATTACCAATCGATACTATGTTTATTAAAGGGCGGTGGTCGTCGCGCTATACATGAGCGAGATATGGATCTCAGATGACGATTTTGACTGTTGCGCAGACTAACGAGTACAAACTGATAACGTCACTAAGCTTTAACTACAAATGTATGTAATTTCTTAGGTGGAGTCATAGACGTTACTTAGTGCACCAGGTCAAATCTCGTGCTAGTGATTTCCATTAGAAGAGCGCATTGGCTTGTGGGCAAATTAATGTTTATCAACACAAATGTCGCACGTGCGCGGCGCGACGATGACAAAAACAATCTATTTGATGGCGTTTACTTTAGGTTAAACGAGGATAAGTCTAATTGATCAAATTACGTCAAAGTTGCAGTAGGAACTCCCTTGGAAAATGCAACAGCGAAAACGCCAGAAAACGATTGTCTGCTATAATAAGTAGGTTGCCATGCACCTCTTGTTGTATATTTTTGAAATGATTCTATATGCATGGAAAGACATCTTTCTGTAATTCCTGTCAAAAGGCCGTGGACAGTACGACCTGATCCCTTTACGGAAGTATCCAACAAGTCCATGAGGAATATCTACTTCAGTGACGTCATATTGTCACATTACGTGCGGTAATGATAAAATCCCAATACTTTAAGGACACCAAATTAAATTACTAACATACAATCACAAAGACTGAAAACCGAAATAAAAAGAGCAACATTTTTGTATGGACCCTCAGCTAGTGTCTGATAAAAAGTTTGACAACAATATATGCCGTTTTAATTAAAATGCGAAAGGTAATTGGAAAGGTACGAGGGTGTCGCTGTAGTACACAATGGGTCACGTTGTTAAAGGGGAAACTTCCAAGCCCAGGGATTGCACCAAAGAATCATAGGACACTACTGTTTATGTTGTTTACAAAGTTAATCTATCTTTTGTTATCTATTGTCATTTTAATCCAGCAACGGCTGCTGGAAATGGACCTTGCAAATCAACAAAATATCTGATCTGATTTCAAACCTACAAAACGCTATTACCGGTCGGGAAATCAACAACAAATATATTTTCAACTTCAGTTATGATGAAAACAAAAGAAAGATTAAAGGTGGCAACAACAAACATTTCCCACGTAATTCCTGGTGCAATCCTAGAATTGGGAGTTCTCATTTGTATCTCAAACAACTAATAACGTTTATTAGTTGTCTGAGGTTGAATCAAGGTTTATATACAAGGTAGAATTTGGTACTTCGTACAAACAAGCTGCGCTCTGATTGATCCGAAAAAAGCCATCAGCAAACAAGCTGCTATCTGATTGGTCCGAAAAAAAGCCATCAGCAAACAAGCTGCTCTCTGATTGGTCTGATCGCCAATCAGGTACAATCTTGTTAATAGCTTCGCGTTGACTCTCGCATTGAGGCTGTCTGATATGAAGCAGGGTAGTACTCTCGGATATAAAATTCCTTTTTGTATGCACATAATACTAGTATTGAGAGAATGATTGTCAGAATGACTGGGTTTAGGTGGCCTTCTTTTTCAGTAGTAGACAATACAAGTGAAACACGTTGAGGTCTTCTACACCCGGTCTGTATAGGCAGTCGCACCTATTCACGTTCTGTGCACATACTGCACAGTGACTGATTGGCAAGAACTGACCGGGCGTGCGCTGTTCTTGTTATTAAATATACTCTAATGTGTCGCTGTTAATAAAATAATGTATGGGCAAAGTTGTGCTGATCAGTGAGTGACACTTGTTACTCACATGATGTTGGTTGGCAAAAATGCTCACATAAGACGTCAGAGCGCGACGGCTTACATCACCTTTTTGGGACCGAAAGATATTGGCTAAATTGCGTCAGAACAAAAAGGTTCGAATCCACGAGGTGTACTAAGTATAGGTTATAAAATTACACGCCCTTTATACATGGTTTTGAAGTCACGAGAGCGGAGCGCGAGTGAATTCAAAATCATGTATAAAGAGCGTGTCATTTTATAACCGGCTTCTAGCATGGCAACAATTTGCAACAATTTATTCAATTTTATTTTTTGTTTTGCGCGGTACTGATCACTTCTAACGTGGCAACAATTTGGAACAATTTATTCAATTTTATTTTTTTGTTTTGCGCTGTACAGTCAATCAAGATCAGCTGACAAAGCCATGTTCTAACTAACTTCTATACAGAGAATATAAATCGTGAATCCGGCGATCTGATTGGTGGAGGGCGGATAGCCACGTTAGAATGCGGATCAGCTGTTGAGAACGTGATAAGGCGATCACATGTCGAAGGCGCGTTCTAACCCAAACACCACGATCCCGGCGCATGTCGCGTGAATTGCATGAAGATTTCGAGTAAAATGCTTTTACTTGAAAAATCAGGCGTCCTGATGAAATAGAATCAAACCATGAAGTAGCGTAGATTATTATTATTATTGTGGGTTCATTAGGTCAATGCCCGGTTTTTATTACACTTATAGTATGCGTTATCTTGTCAACACAGACACGATGCGAACACTCGTTTCGTTCACCAGTATTTAAACCTGTGATTCGCACCAATCAAATTTGTGGAACATCGTTTTATACTAGTATGTTATCCACCGTTATTTCCCAATATTGCTGTCGATAGCATCCATGCCAGACAGCGTCACCCACTCTCAATATTTCGTCTTGCCCTAACAATAGTCGCTTGTGATCGCATACAATACACGATTTGCGTGCAACCTGCAAATTAATACACGAACTTTAACACGTGTTTTCTTTTTTATTCCACGTTTTTATTCCATATTCTTCTAATACAACCTCGCACAACATAAAGAATGATTCCGTCTGCTCCATTTATTTATCAGATAGGCGCATGTCTGTATTTCATGCTACGTACTACGCCGGGTGAAAGACCGGCTATGCAAATCAGACAAAGTTCACTCAAGGGGTCGCGTTCTGATTACCCGTTGTGCTTGTTAAGACGTGAAATAATTTCATTGCCGAGTTAGCTTAGTCACCGCGAAGAATGCTAAGGTGATATTTTTGTACCATCATGGCTGTCTTGAATTATCTAGTGAACGTTCTAGAATGTCCGTAGATATATGCTGTAATCGGGTTTTTGTATTGTATAGTTGTTGGATGTTGCGACAAATTGAATACATATTAACTAAGCTGCGCGTATCCATAACAACGATTTGATTGGCCAAAACCTCCAATTTGCAACAGCCGTGATACAAATTAGTTGAATCATAGCCATTTGATTTGATATTTAGGGCACTTGCATGATTTAAGTAGTGAATAACCTATTTCACAGTACAGTGAACTCACAATAGTAATTAAGATCCGAAGTCTGATTATTGTCCAGTAACGGATACTACTCGTATGGTGATGAAATAATGGTACATGTACATACAGAGAACAACGCTACGTGAATTTGGTTTTATCGTGATGTGACACAGAATTTAACCCCAATATAAGATTATATTTACCGTTATTGTATAAAACACCATCGCCGTGACAGCTAATACATGAAGTGATGCCACCATTTGTCGCTTTCCACGTGGTTTGGATTCAGGTCTTTAATTAAACACTCGAAACCGTAGTTTTGTCCATTATTATTGTCCCATATAGTCTGGCCGTTTACTTCGTAGCAGATGGCGAACTCTAGATGAGAGCCGACGCCAAAATCCTTTGGTATTGGTAGTACGAAGGCAAATCGTTCCGTCACCGGTGGCTTCGTATCTTCCGTCTTTTCTTTGCACTCCGTCAGATTGGCGCTCAGCGTCTCAGGGCAACTCGTTTTCTCTGGAATAGGTTTGTTATAGGGTACATAGTCGGCAATAATGTCGTCACTTGTGCGCCAGTTATTTCGCGTGTATCGAATCTTGACTGTTTTTGAGAACCCGATGTTCGCCACCCTTACCATGCCGCTGATTTCGCGATTGGTGCATTTGACGTCTTCCAGCAATAGGTATTGACTCAGTACTAGTTGATCGATCGTGTCGTCGCTCTGCTTTTCACTACTCGGTAATTCGAATGTGGCAGATATATTTTTAAGTGGTGGCATACGTCTGTTATCGGGAACGATTCCCAAAGTCTCATAAACATCGTTTTTCGGCTGAAAGCCGTCACGGGCCATCTGCTCGACCAAACTGGCTTCAAAATCAAGTCCGATTTCAAAATCCATGGCAAACAATTACTGCATACGTCACCTTGTAACAACGATGAACTGAGAAGTGGCGAAGCCCGTGACAAACTGGTTCTAGGTGCAATGCGTTGATATTACGTCACTGAACACGTGATTTCACCGCCCACTCGATTTCATTGCAGAGAAGTGTGCGTTATAAGTGCACTACTAAATTTACTATAGTATAAACCCCATTCACAAAGGTTATTGATATTATATTTTCCTAATACAGTGGACTCTAAATTCATTGAACCTCGTTGATAAAATATTATCATTGATATCATTGTATTTTCCCAATACAGTGGATGGCTAAAATTAACTTTTTTAAGTTCTTCGTCGTAATTATCCAATCACGTTATTTAGTGGTGAATTGTCGTCACGGGGACACGAGCGTACTAGTATTGCAACATGCAGACGGTGTGTATAGACTTTAGCATGCACCTTGACATGTATAATCACGCATTGACGCGTGTACATACTGGTAGCATTCACGTTAGAGATTTCGGCACGTCCCGAAACTCGGCACCGAGTCAGCACGTGCCGAAACGTGTTCGTGAAAAAAAAATCGATCTCGGTCCAACTCAGCACGTGCCGAGATTTGCTGCCTGCGTTTCCATGTTCGTGTCAATTAATAAATCGAAGAGTGGGGGCGTGATTTCGGCACGAGCCGAGTGGGTCTCAAGTGGGTACCGACTAACGTGAACGCAACTGATGTAATCCCTCTGCAAACACAAATGAGTAAACATTTCGGAACTTGCCGTACGTAGCAAGTGTCTAGTAATATAGCTTGATAGCTCTAGTTGTCGTCATGACAACTGTGATGATTGCCGTATTCCATTGACAGCGCACCGTTCATGGTACGTGTGTGTCGTATCAATATGGAAGCCATTCGGGAAATTAAAATAAAAAATAAATAAAATATTGTTATCGTATTAATAAATAAAATGTCTCATTATATGTCATTAATTAAAAATACTTTCGTTTTTTTTTAATATATGGGTGAATTACGCCAAGAAGTTCCGTTTTGACGCGTACGTTTTTATGTCTGTTTTGGTGTCCCCCATGTGTACGTTCGTGTGTGTATGTGTGTTTCTTTTTCGTTTAGCTCAATGGTACTGGCCAAGATTAGTTAATTGGCGGATGTGACGGGCCTGGTTGGTCGTGATAACAAGATAACAGCGGGGTTCGTTTGGGGGCTCGTCAACAAATACGTCTCCGACAATATGTCGAGTATGCTTCTCGAATTGAATGTATGAAAAATAAATTGAAAGATCCCGCAAAAAAATGTATGTTCCCTGAAATATATCCGCTCAGTGCAAAAATTGGTGTCCGACAACATTGTGCCAGCCATTTTGCAGAAGCAATGACAACAATTACCATGTCATTTTGATTATTTCATGTTAGAAGCGGTGAATGAAAGTTTCGGTCGCCATTTACCACCCCGACTTTTCGGCAACGGATTTTAGCCAAAGGTTTATTTATAACTATTTAATCTTGCGTGACTCGCACGTTGCATGTACGGTGTATCTATATTGATTTACTCATAACTTTGTGTATTTTTATTTAGATTTTTTACAAATAACTGGCATATTGCAAGTATGTATTTATTATATTTATTTATTTACTAACAAACCTACGTTACAAGCACGATATGGCACAGTACATAAATATAAATACATCGTGCTTGTAACGTACGGACTGTGAGTAAATGAATATAAATAGGTCGCACTTGTAACCTGTGGGTACAAAAGTGCATGAGCTCAATTCAGAGACACCATTTAGAACCTCAGAATGTCGTAACGCCAAATCGCAACAGGAATAAGAGCACCCATTTCCGTCTCCAAAAAAACAAAACAAAACATAAAATGTCAACACCTCGCAACCCGCTTCTCGGGCGTCATACATGGGCCGATTTCATTAAAACTTCGTATTTACTTATATCATCCAATTCCATGCTGGGTTGTTGATTCCGTCAATTTTTTGGGAATAACTGACGGCCATGCTGGTTGTATTTGAATTTGCAACATGGCCGTCAGACGGTCATTTGAAACAAATCGCGATCCGTAGTTAACTTCTCATAGACATAGACATATCTTTTTAGGTCTGTGGTTAACTATTTTTTCAACGTTCGATCGTTTAGTTTATTTGCTATACAATGAATTACTGAAACACCTATTATAAAATTATCTATTTAATTTTTTAATGTACAAATATTTAAGATATCATCGCCTTGAATGCAGACTGTGTGCCCATGGAGGTACCTCCATGGTGTACCTGACCGTCGTCACGTGACCAAGAATACCACTATTTGGAATCACTCTATTACATACACTACGACAAGAAAACAATCTTTCAAAAACTGGGAAATTATTTCAGGTAACAATATAAAATTATAACAGTCCTGAGTTGATACATTTGCCACAAGTTGAGCGAAGTTCTCCGTGTCTGTATTGTCATGTAAAAGATTCATGTAAAAAATAAATAAAAACACACTATTGCATCATTTTTGCGAAAATTTACTTTGATACTAGTACATCTTGAATTGTCAATGTATAATATTCCGTTTCACTGTCTCCGAGAGTTTTGGAGAGGGCATTTTGAACGGAAACGAAACCGTGCCAGCGGACGATGACTGTGGCAGAGAAGAGCTCCTGAACTACTTTGATTCCAGCTATGTGTCAGGTCCCTTCAGAAGAATTCAACCTCCGCCTGTATATCCTGGTGGCGGTATCCCTCCTCTTAGATATCGCAGGATTCCTCCACTGTTTCCGCCATCATTGTGGAATGTTCATCAAGCAACACACAACAACGAAGACAGAACCAACAACCTGAGTGAAAGCTGGAATAATGCATTTCGTCAACTGCTTGGCTATAACCATCCATCTGTGTGGGCTGCAGTTGATGCAATCAGAAAAGATGCAGCTCTTGTTTCAACTACTTTATACCAGATGTCCCGTGGAGTATCCCCAAGAAAACGCGTCAAAAGAGCGACAAAACAGCTACAAGAAAAACTTCACAACTTATGCAAAGATTTTTCTGAAGGAAGAAAAGACATTCAACAATTTCTTGAAGCCGTGGGACATTGTGTCAAGTGGAAATAATGGTGTGGGTTTAATTACAGTGTGTGGTAGTTAAATAATAATCTTGTAGTTGAATAATTTAATGTGTTTCACATTTTGTAAATATTTAATAAATAATGAAAAATAAAAAAAATACTGTGTAATAATGCTTGATGTTTACTTTTGCCCTTTCCTGTCCATCAATCCACCAATCTATATCAAAGATTTAAAACTAAATGAACAAGACTTATCTTATGTAAAGATCAAAGGCATCCCTCAACAATATAGAATTAAACACTTAACAAAACACCAATGAATAGGCATTCAAGATCAAAGGTTGCCTATAAACGTAAGTGATTGACACAAATTAACACTAGATGTTCACAACTAAGATCAAAGAATAACACAATGAGACAATAATATACTAGTAACATGTGTGACCATTTATGTCAATTCTGTGAATATAGTTATGAGAAACAAGTTAGTAAGTCTTCCGTATTCTGCAAAAGTATTTCCTAAAAGTGTTTTTTTCACTATGGGTTTTTTTTCCTAGGGTTTTTTTTCCTACACTCGGCACAGCCGCATCATAGGATTTTACAATGTCCACAGAGTTATTTTTGTCCGACTTCATTGAGACCCGTATCTAAAACCGTTAACGGTTTCACAGGCTGTAGTAAATATTATTTTCTGCTAAATGTGATTTGCCATATCTTATGGCAATATTGAAGATATTGTCACCATAGTAATATATGTGCTAATGTATATACCGGAAGTCAACCAAGCTCCAACTCTGAACGATATTGAACAAAGACAATTGCGATGCTGAATCAGCGTAACGGCCGTTAACTGACAAGTTACGTAACGTATAGCAATCATTAAAAAAGCCTTGTGAACGTGAACAAAACATTTAAATTAATAATTTTCAATTAACAGTACATGAGCTTGAAATATTTAGACAAAGTGATGCCATAACGAGTCACTCTCTACATAAGGGGGGGTTCACATCCTTGGTGAAACACTCACAAACATAATTATCGCCGTTGTTATTGTCCCATATAGTCCTATCGTTTAATTGGAGGCACATGGCAAATGTTAAGCGAGAACCATTCCCAAAGTCTTTGGGGATACCTAGTTCAAATATAAACTGCTCCGTCAGCTGCGATGTCAGATCCTCGCCCACATACTCTTCAGAGGTGTCGCTTCTGTCGCTGTAAGAGCTTACTGATTCAGTTCGGCGGTGATCAATTAGAACCCGTCTGGCCGATACATCTTCCTTTGTGCGCCAATTGTTCCTTGTGTAACGAATTGTGACGGTGGCTTTTCTAGTTCCCGTATTTACTATCCTTACAGTTCCAAGGATTTCTCGCTCAGTGCAAATTATTTTTTCCAGGCATATGTTTTGTTTGATCACACGTCGCTCGAACTGGTCGTCGCTTTCACCGCTACTGCTCGGTAAACGAAAAGAATACGCGAGATATTTCCGTGGAGGTAGTCGTCTGTGATCCGGTGCGATTCCAAATGTTTCGTATACAGCGTGTTTCGTTCCGTGTATTAGGGACTTCTGGCTTTCTATGGAGTTATCGAAATTGATTCCAAAAGTGTTATCCATTGCAAGGTGATGTGAAGACTGACGCGATATCGAGACTATGGTATCTGGAGCGTGTCTTCACGCGCCGGGAACGTGTTTCTTTGTCTATTATTAACAATGACCGGGTCTTTGTTACCCACTCAGTGGCTTCCCACAATTGCTTCCAGTAGTAATTGGATGCATTTTTCGTGTATTACTTACGGAGAGATAGGCTGGACGGAAACTGTGATCGTATTTTACAAATGCGTAAAATGTCGTCGAATATAATATGTGTACGTGTTAAGAGCGACAAACCCGCGCACACTTGCAGTTGCCTAGTAACTCAATAATGAGGGCCGTCAAAATATTTTTGTTTCGAAATCTAACGACACCTTTTAGCGACC